GCAGGTGGGAGCGTGGATTCTTAACCACTGGACCACCAGGGACATCCCAAACAGCCCCTGCTTTTTACAGATGAAGCAGCAGAAGTCCCAGGAGTAGTGGCAGGGCTAGCTTTAAAACTGCTTCTTGGACTTGCTAACCCCATGTCCTGTACCATCCCCAGAGCCCCCCAGACTGTGAGCCCCAGAGCCTTGGAGGAGGCTTGGCGGGTGCTAGCTCAGACGGCGAACAGATGCTCGCTATTTTAAACCCACTGTTTAACTCATTAAGACAGCTGTTTCCCATCCCCAAAGTCGGTGGAATTAGAATTAAATTCATTCCAGAATTAAACACACACATACATACACACGCGCATACCCGCCACCATTTGGAGGCGAAACTTATTAGCATTTAGGCAAGCTGTGCCTTCAAGCCTGGGGACGGGGCTGGGCTTCCGCCTGACAAGTTAGATCATGGCCCAGCGGTTGCCAGCTGGGCTGGTGGCCAGGATGGCCCAAGGGCCCAGATTCCTGTGTGTACCCAGGCTTCCACTGTTAAGAGTACAGCTGCCAACTGGATGCCCCCCATTCTCCCCCCCAGTCCCCCAGCCCAGACTTCTGCCTGACCCCTCAGACCCAGGGGCACCGAGGCAAAGCTCAGCATTTGCACTTGAACTGACTTTCCCTCCGGGGACCCCATCTCCACCTGACACTCACATCTGAGACAGATCTCATCTGTCCTTCCTTCTCTCCCTTCACCTCTTATATCCAAACAGTCAGGACTCACCGGTGATGCCATTTCTAGGCGGCTACGTCTCCTACTGCTACTGCACCAGTCCGAGCCTCCATTACCTCCAGCCTGCATGACTGTTCTTGCCTCCTTCCTGGGCTCCTGGCTTCCACTCTTTCCCAACTAGCTGTTTTCCCTCAGCAGCCAAAGGGATTTGCTAGTTCCTCGATCGGTTATGCCACTGTCTCACTTAAAATCCTCCAGTGCAGGGCTTGTCCAGTAGAACTTTCTGTGACTGATGGAATGTTCCAGACCTGTGCCACCAAACATGGCCACTCACAGGTGGCCACAGAACAGTTGAAATGTGGCATGTATGAGTGAGGAAGGAAATTTTTAATGTGTTTTATGTTTTTAATGTTTTAATGCTAATTTTTAAATGTTTCATTTTAATGCATTGAAATAAGCCCAGGTTGCTGGTGGCTGCCATATCAGTCAGTGCAGGACTAAAGGGCCATCAGCTGTTAGTGGCCAGCCCAGATACCCTGGGTCTTCCCCATTTTCTCTGCACTGCTGGCTGGGATCCCAGCCCAGATGCTCTGCCTGAGCCTGCTTTGCTCAGGGCAGGTGAGGAGTGTCTCAAGAGTTCATGCCATCCCCTCCAGAAGCCCCCAGCCAATGGCCGGCAGGAGCAGGAGTGTACATACCCCAGCTCCCTCGTCCCTCGAGCCACGCAACTTTGCAGTTCATGCTGGACAGAGGCCCCAGTGGGACTGAGCCCCCTCTGCCCACCACAGCCACCTAATCACGAATGCACCCTGGACAGGCTTCCTCCATCCCCTCATGCTCCCTGACTCCTCCTGGGGCATCCTGGTGTTACCTCTCACATGAACTGCTTGCATCCCAAATCTTGTCTCCGGGCTACCTGCTGTTCCTCCTTCCCCTGTCTTCCTTCCTCCTCCTTCCTCTCCTCTTCCTTTTTAGTGCCTTAAGCCTCTTTTTAAAAAATGTTTTATTTCAGAATAATTTTATTTTCTTTTATTATTTTTATTTATTTATTTTTGGCAGTGCTGGGTCTTCGTTGTTGCCCACAGCCTTTCTCCCGCTGTGGCACATGGGCTTAGTTGCCTTGCAGCACATGGGATCTTTCCGGACAAGGGGTAGGACCTGTGTTCCCTGCATCTGGTAGGCATATTCTTAACCACTGGGCCACTAGGAAAGTCCTGGAATGATTTTCAGTTCAGTTCAGTCATTCAGTCATGTCTGACTCTCTGCGACCCCGTGAATCACAGCATGCCAGGCTTCCCTGTCCATCACCAACTCCCAGAGTTTACTCAAACTCATGCCCATTGAGTCGGTGATGCCATCCAGCCATCTCATCCTCTGTCGTCCCCTTCTCCTCCTGCCCCCAATCCCTCCCATCTTCAGGGTCTTTTCAAATGAGTCAGCTCTTCGCATCAGGTGGCTGAAGTATTGGAGTTTCAGCTTCAGTATCAGTCCTTCCAATGAATATTCAGGGTTGATTTTTCTTT